TATTATTGATCTCATTGAAAATGAGAAGTAGGAACAATTCCTTTTAATAATTTTGTATTGAGTATTAATCTAGTTTGTTTCAAATTAAAAATTTTCAAAGTGATATTTTTTGTTGGAGAATCTATTTAGACATCAGAAAAAGTCAGTCTGGAAAGTGTATAAGTGTGATTCTTGCCCTAATACTGATGATTAAGTTGGAGTGGGCGTGTAGATCTAGATAATCATCAATTCAGGGGGGGGGCAAATGCCCCCCTTTTTTGAAATCAACATTTAAAAATAATAATAAGCTGCTTTTGGAAGGAAAAGCTGTTCTACAACTTACATATGAAAGGAAAAGGCTAAATCAGACCTTCTGTGATGCCATTACAAAGCTGAAAAGGTATTCAACGTTCCCTATGATCGTTCAAAAAGTCCGCCATTTTGAAAAAGAGGCGTGACCACGCCCTAAAAGGGCGTGGTTTAGTAAAATTTCGCGCGCCTCAGCTCACGGCTTGCCAGCCTTGCCCCCTCTCTTCCAAAAATCCGGGTGTTACTAGAATGCGGAATTCTGCGGAATAGTCGCGGAACATTCCGCAAGGTTCCGCGCACGTTTACGACAGTGCGCGGAGCGGAACTTGTCTAGAATGCGGAACATGACCCTGCCTACTCACGTGATTTTACACGCTTAGACACGCTGTATCAGAAGTGAACTACTACGATACAGCCGGGAGCAATGAAGACCATGACTTCTGTGTCTGTTGAAGAGGCGGTTTCTATTCTGAAAGAAAGGAAATTTAAGATTATATCTGAATTACCACACAAACCGAAGGCTTCGCAGTGTTTTTTATTTGAAGCAGAGTCAAAACCTAAGCAAGGTGAGAAAATGCATCCCATGAAGCTGTTATACTACAACTAGTCATATCGGTTAGATAAACCACTAGTAATGATTAGATTAATTGTAATTTAATGTTTTTACATGTGTGTGGCATTAAAATGTTCATATTTTACTTTTGTACTCCGTATCATTATTAGTCTGAGACTATCATGTATGTAGCATATATACACCACAGTCTTTGTACCAGACTATACAAATGGTATTTGTAATTAGTCGTATTAATACTTTTAAAAGCATTTGTATTTGTATTGTAATTTGAGTTTTTGAAACAGGAAGTATCTGTATTTGTAATTGAAATATAGCATGAAAGTATTTCAAAATGTAGCAAAATACTTTAAAATGCTTTGATGTGAATGAAAGATGCCATTTGAGTGGCAAAACTTTTGAAACACTAATGTTCATTAAATGCATTACTTGTAACTAAAGATTATTGATTATTTTGATTATACATGAATACATAATAAATGGAGACTTTGATTAACTTGATTTCAATTAATTAATAAAACTACTGAGTTGATAACTGTTATACATGAGAAGGAAGTATTTGTAAGTGTAATTGAACCACATGTATACAGCATTTGTAATTGTATTTAAATACAAAGCTGCAAACAGTATTTGTATTTGTTGCTTTCCATCGTATTTGTATTTGTATTTAAATACTTTCTGTTGTAATTGACCCAAGCCTGCTT